GGTTTGATTTCTTTGTATGTATGGATCACTTGGGTTGTTACCAACATCTGGTGAAAATTTCATGTCATTAGCACCTCTAGTAATATATTTACTGCGAAAAATGTTGATGTGTTCAATACTTATTTTACCCGCTGTACATGAGGCCCCTGATCTTTCTGTGGATCACTGAGAGCCATTTATTGGGTTTATCTGGAATGTTTTTAAACTCCAGGAAATTCTGCTCCCCTATTCCTACTTTTTTATGCATCCAACCATTTCCCTTTAAATCCATATTAAGAAGAGGGTGATCATATGTAGAACTAATGATGCATTTCTGTCTACCAGCCAGGTTTTGATTTGGGCGGTCATGTGATCGTGACGACACAGTGATCTTCTCTTTAATAACAACAAAAACATGGCAGACTTTCTGTCTGATGGTCAAACTGAGACTGTTGTACTGCAGCTCAGAGACAACAGAGGGTTAAACTGCTGTGATGCACCCACTGTTTGTAACTGCACAACTTGTTGTTTAGGTAAATCATTCATTTATAAAATTAATCTTTTCCACAGAATGAAAAAAAAAAGAGATGAGAAAAGTCACTGACCAGAGCAGCTTGTACGCTGTGGCTACTTGGTCGCTCTAGACCCATGTCCAGAACACTCTGCACCCCTGGCTGAAAAAAACAACAAGTATAATGTGACTGCTGTGTGTGTGTGTGTGTGTGTGTGCGTGCGTGCGTGCGTGCGTGCGTGCGTGCGTGTTCAGAGTGAATATAGGAGTCAGCACTATCCTTCCTTGAAGTTTCCACATCACTAGCTCTGACTCTCAGTCCCAGGTTTGTTTCTTTTCCTCCTTCCTCGTCCCTAATTCATAAGGTTCAGATAAGATGGAGTCCTCCTGCGTTTTTGGAAAATTTTAACTCTCTTTCTGCACTCTGCTTTTCTTCCTGCTGCCCTCCGTTCACTCTTTACTGATACCCTCTTTCTGTTCAGATGTGTCTGTGAAAACAGTGTTTTTAAGTAACAAAGGTCTGATAATGATGATGATGATGATGATGATGTGCTTCCTCCTCGTTACGACACACCCACACAACATTTCTCCTTTTGTCAGCTCAGGCTTTTACCAGACAGTTTAAATATTTCATGCAGACGGCAGAAGAAACTGTGTGTGAACATTAGTGGAAGCTCTGTCTGCTTCACAATTTAAGACTGTCTCAGCAGCTGTACGGTACAACAGTTCAGTACACTGTGAGTACTATTTTACGCTATGTACAGCATAGTGTGGCCAGGGTAGCTTTAAGTAAAAAAATAATACAAACTATTCAGGATGTGCAAAGAAAAAACAAAGTTTTAAACTTTTTGGTATGAAGAACACCACGTCTGGCACAAACCAGCAACCTGTCGTGATGCTGACACCTTCCACAGTGAAGCATGGTGGTGGCAGCTTCATGCTGTAGGAACAGCATCACAGTTTCCACAGTTTATTTATGCTGCAACAAACTACACAAAATGTGTCATGCTAAAGTTTATGGGTTTAATATTAGCTAATGTTGCGTTCACGAAAGTATGATGTTTTTAAGAAACAGTTGTGTTATAAGCCTGAAAACTGATTCAAAAAATGTAAAAACTGATACTTGTTGGCTAGCCATTAGCTTAGTCTGGTTGGATAGTTTTCCAATTTCTCTGTACTCTTTTAAGAGTCTAACTACTAATGATTATTAGACAGAACCATTGCTTCAAGGAAAACCAGTTAAAGGTCCTGAAATGGTCCAGTGGAAGACCAGACCTCGGTCCAACTGAGAATCTCTGGTTTGATTTAAAGATTGGTGAATGGAGGCAGCACATACCCAATCTGAACTAGCTAGAGTAATATGGTTGTACATAAATTATAAATATTTAAGAGTCTAAATCTGGGGAGTCTAATCCTGTCCTGGAGGGCTACTGTACCCTAACCCTATTTTAGCGGTTTCTTTGCTTCAGCAACACCTGATTTGAATAAATCAGTAAAAGTGGTAAAAGTGGTATGTCTACTGGTATAGATGGTAAAGTACAGTGGTGCACTGGACGTACCGGGGGTCTGTTGATGAGCCAGTAAGCCTGCTCCTGACACGCAAGAACAATCCGGTCAGCTTTCCTCCTCTGTTTGGATGCTCTGTACATCAAAATCCCAGCATCAGTGTGTTGTTAGATTGTGTGTATCTGTGTGCATGTGTGTGTGCGCACCTGAGTTGCTCTCTTGCTTGCATCACAACAAAGTCCCAGGTGTGGTTGATCCTCTTGTGCAAAAGACTGTACCTTTCCTTAAAAAAGTTTAAAAAGTAGGGGTAAAAACAGTTTGGCAGTAAAATCTTTCAACGTAAATCATTATACAGACACACATATTTGTTCTTCTATCCTCATGGGGACTTTGCATTGACTCCCATTCATTTACCGATCATTTCAATCACCTAACCCTAAACCCAACCACCCCAGTACATACCTAACCCTAAACCCAACCGCCCCAGTACATACCTAACCCTAAACCCAACCACCCCAGTACATACCTAACCCTAAACCCAACCACCCCAGTACATACCTAACCCTAAACCCAACCACCCCAGTACATACCTAACCCTAAACCCAACCGCCCCAGTACATACCTAACCCTAAACCCAACCACCCCAGTACATACCTAACCCTAAACCCAACCACCCCAGTACATACCTAACCCCAAACCTGACCACCCCAGTACATACCTAAACCTAAACCCAACCAACCCAGTACATACCTAACCCTAAACCCAACCACCCCAGTACATACCTAACCCCAAACCTGACCACCCCAGTACATACCTAAACCTACCCACCACAGTCAGGTACATACCTGACCGAAAACTTAACCTAAACTCAATTTAGACCTTAACCACAACCCTGAGCTACCAACAGTATTTCCCCAAATGGTGACCAGGCTTTTGTCCCCATAAGGAACAGTGGGTCCTCACCAGGCTGTGTACTGGGAAAATGTTCAAAAAATGTCCCCACCTGGTAACAAAAACGTACATACACACATTCAACCTACCCTTTCATATTCCATCAGTTCTCCTTGTTTTCTAATGTTCTTTTTAGCCAAATAGATTGCTGTGGATGGAAAGAAAAAAAATCTATATTCATAGACATGAAACAGATGAAACAGATGATGTTTGTGTCCAGAACTGCATCATTTTTTTCATAACTGATTACATCTTGCATAAAAAATAATGATATTAGAGTTTAATTCCTACCATAATCCAGCTCTGAGGCAGGCCATCTTGTACTTGTCCAGAAATAAGGAGTCTGAAACAGTTTTTATTTTTATAAAAATGTGATTAATGATTAGACAGAGTGGCAAATGGGTGATGAATTACTGAAGAACTCTGGGTGATAAAATAATTAAAGACACTGATAGAGAGAAAAACAGAAATTTAGTTGAAGACAAGTAGAGGTATGAAGTGTTGATGACGTCACCTGGAAGCGGTACGGTGACTCGTCAGGTTGTAAGATGAGGCATCGTGGTTCTTTCAGGGGGTAGACATATCCGTACCTCAGCAGCATACCACCAAGATGTAGAGCCTCTGATAAAAAGACAAAGTGTCTTCATTCTACAAAACTGATCACTGAAAATAAGCATTACCTGTGTTAGTGTGGTCTATAATTGATTGAATGTCTGGAGGAAAGACCATTAGGACTAATGCTCGTAAACAAAACAGTTCTGAGAAGGATTGGAACTGGTAAAGTTCAACTAATCCTGTTTGTTGTTGTGACATATGTGCTGATTTATAAATGAGTTGTCTGTTTTACTAAAGTATCCTCTTTTTCCACAGCTAACTACTTGGCTAGCCTTTAAGATGTTCTGTGTGTGCAGGTCTTATTTATAACTGGGACTACCTGTCTCATTGACATTAGGTGTCTAAATAAAAGCAAATAAAAATGTTTTATAACAAACTCTGCCCTGTCTCAAACTACTAAGACATAAAGTTTTTGTTTTGTCATTTTGTTCATCCTATTCTTTATTTTTTTGTCATCATCATCAAGCTTATTACAGACTGAAGGTCCACAAAACAACATGGAACAAAACACAGAACAACAAAAAACAAACAATAAAAATGATCAATATACTATATAGGGCAACAATACAAAAAGCAATCCACCCTACAAAAGACAACTGTACCAGTGCCTCCACAACTGAGACTGGTAATGTGTAACAATTAACTTTAAGTTAGTCATGTACATAATTACATAACAACTGGCTGGCTTTTCCCTTGAAGTAACCACAGCGACTCAAATAGTTTCACAGCAGAGGAAAAATTTTCACCCCACTTGATGCGATTTGAGCCTTATTGGATCGAGCTGCTGGCTCAAGGCGCTGACTCAGCGACGCATGAAGCTGGTGCTGCCGAGGCGATGGAGAACAAAATGGGTCCAGTTTCTGAGCGTTAAAATGATGTTAGCATCATTGCTAAAATGGGCTAATGTTCAAAGTTGTGACTTTCATGGCAGTCCTGAATCGCTGCAGGGGCGTGTCTGGGAGAGAGGCTTTTATACTTTTTTAAAAATTTTATACGAATTTAGAACTGTGACATAAGCATGTACCAAGCTGTACCATTTTAACCAATAAACAAATTCAACTGCAGTAGTTACCGTTCAACCCATAGAGGGCAACACTAAGAGGGTTTTAGACAAACCATTGCAGAATTAAACAAATTTACAAAAAATGTCAAAATTAGCACATAAATATAAAGATAAGACTATGAAAGTCATAATATCATTGTGTTCTGTCACCCTCTTATTTGCTTTCCGTGTTTTCGCTCTCACTACTCAATCAGCTCTCTCTCTCTCTCTCTCTCTCTCTCTCTCTCACACACAC